TGGCTGCCGAGCTGAAGGACTGTCTAGGGGACTTCATCGAGCACTACGCCCACCTGGGCCTGAAGGGCAGCCACGGCCACCGGCACGAGCACAGCAATGGCAAAGAGCAGCACCTGAGACGGCGGCAGCAGCACCCTCCGCCTTCGCCTCCGGTATCCGTGGGCTCTGAGGAGCACCCGCACAGCGTTCTCAAGACGGAGTACATCGAGCGGGACAACAGGAAGTATTACCTGGATCTGAAGGAGAATCAGCGAGGGCGCTTCTTACGCATTAGGCAAACCATGAGTCGAGGACCCGGCATGATCGGCTACTTTGGCCACAGTTTGGGGCAGGAACAGACTATCGTCCTTCCGGCGCAAGGGATGATCGAGTTCAGGGATGCTTTGGTCCAGCTGATTGAAGAGTACGGCGAGGGGGACATAGAGGACCGCCGAGGGGGAGGTGATGAGCCCCCGGAGCTCCCCGAGGGCACCTCCTTCCGAGTGGACAACAAGCGGTTCTACTTTGATGTGGGATCCAACAGGTATGGCATTTTTCTGAAGGTAAGTGAGGTGAGGCCACCGTACCGTAACACCATCACTGTTCCGTACAAAGCATGGACAAGGTTTGGGGAGAATTTTATCAAGTATGAAGAAGAGATGAGGAGGATTTACAACAGCCATAAAGAAAAAAGAATGGATGTCAGAGGGGACAGTGGTGAAGAGCAAGAGGGTCTCGAATAGAGTGCATTGAACTGACCGTCTGGCAAAATTAAAAGAAAGGGGGGGGAGCAGAAATTGGTGAGAGGGACTGGTCTAAAGTAATTTGAAGTTGCCCCATTCTTTTTTTGTAAAAGTCCTTTTCGGGTAGTTACTACTAACTCCAGTACATAATATTGCAGGAGTCTGGTTATCATGTTAAATTACACTCAAAACATCTCTGTGTTTCTTATGAAATACCAGCCTCCCAAGTCTGTATGAGTCAGCTGCTTCAAGCGTGGAAGACTATGGAAGTACGTGTATCAGCACAAAAAAAAAGCCTGACATTCTGACCTTTAAATTGTCTAGATAAGGCTTGTGTTGCACTTCAACACAGTACAAAAAACCTCATACGGAAATGTATCGGTTTCTACTTAGGACAGATGTTCTGGAAATGAATTCTGTCTGGGCTTAGTCGAAAGGCTGGAAAGCTCAGCCATAGGGCAGTTAGTAAAACCGCCAACTTCATATTAACTGCTCACACGTGTATGAGGAGAGGTAGATGTTTTGAAATTGGTATCTGCTGGTTACTCAATTTGAAATGATATTCTATATGGGTAAAATCTTCATAACTGGTCAGACCTTTATAATGTGCTGGTGAAGGATGGAAGACTTGTTATTTAATTTTGCGGTTTTGAGCTGACCAAAATAACCAGAGTATCCCATGATCGCAAAGCTGTGCTTGAGTTCTAAACCTTCTGAATTAATGGCAACGAATAGTAATCCATCCTTCATCTACGTGTTCTGCCCTTGTGAGGCTGATGGTTTTTTAATGCATTTCTCAAAATTTCAAAAGATATTTTTATACTAGGGGTGTTATGGGTTCCAGCAAGCGGCTGCGAAGCAGGTGTCGAATGATTGCTGTGATTGAGATTCCAGGGTTCTCTCCCAAACGGGAGATGAATGCGGTGGTGATGTTAAAAGTGTGAAGAAAACATCTGGGCATTTTTCTCCTCCTTCTGTGAGAAAGACCTTTGGGGGGTTTGGTGCACCATTTGATTCATATAAAAATGCATCTCGATCATATTTATCCGGAGTACATTTTCAGTGCCGTAGTTAGGTTTGCTGTCATGTTGATTTTACAGATGTTATTATTACAAGGTAATATTCATGCCCTACGGTCGCCTCCTTCCCACCCTGTCAAAGCTGGGGCTATAATCAAGCGAGCTGATACCTGATTGCCTACTAGTAGGTCTGCAAAGTCCCACTGAAGACGGTCAGTCTCTGTAATGTAAATTTTACAGGTGTCCCCTTTTGCAATATAAATCCTCTACTTGGAGAGAAAATGTGTAGAATTACCTGTTTAGGAGGCTTGCGGAAGGTTTTTCAAAATTCCTTGGCATGTCTTAAAACCAAATGTGTGTCATTTAAGGGACTTTCTCAGCTGTTGGGGGACCAGTTCTCTTCCTTCTGAAATCAATGGGAGTATGATTGAGCTCCAGGTACTTTAAGTCATGTGTTGCCTACCTTTAAGATGTTTTTTTACGTAT